ACAGAGTTCGACAATCTTGTCAGTTCCCCCGAAGTATTTCTAATCATTGATGATTAGTTGCTTCATCTTCTAAGCAACCAGTACCAAGCGTCCACAAAATGATTCAAATCAGTTTACGATATGACCAGTTGAATGGTCGACAAGTGCATTAACCGAAAAATTGTGAGATGGCCGGTGTGAACAAAGGTTTGACGTACTGGAAAACATTGTTACGTTTGCCACGGAGAGCGAGCATTTCAACTCATTGTTGCGCTCTGTGAGTACCTTTTCAACTGGTACTTGCACCGGTGAAAATTGAACCCTATACCCGTGCAGATCTGCCACAATGTTCATTTCAACTTAGGCACATTGTTCCCAGACTCGAGTTAGCGCACGTCAGCTTTCTTCCCGCGTTCATACACAGATTTTCCACTTGCAACCCGGTTACATAAACCGAATCCGGGAGTGGCCGTGTTCAAATTGGTTTAATGAACTTAGGAATCGGCTTAGTCAAAGTCAACCCTTTGCAGATCAACAGTTGCATGCACTCGTGAATCTGGTTGCAATAATCCACGAATTAAAATCTACTTCGCAAAAGTGGGCACAAAATGACCTTGAGTGTTTATGAGCACTGCTAACGGTTCCTCAGAGGTTGCCGCCAACCTTAATCCCACTGAGCAATGTGGAAAACAACGTACATTCCATCATGAAGAAACCCTAATCAGCGAAGAAAACGTTTCTTTCCAAACCACAATTTCCACAGGGTATGTCTAGTCTTGTCGGTTGCGGTGATAAACATAAAGTATCGGTGGCTCTAAAATGCTTTGCGGTACAATGGGAATTGTNAATTGTGTAATCAATATTCAAAAGAGGGGGTGGGGTCAACTGTAGCCCGTTGGAAAACAAATGTGAAGGTAGGGGGAGACGGTGATGGAGTTCAAAAACACACGAACTATGAGAAAATAACCGGTCGAAACCGCAAGACCACAACTCAGAAAGAGAACAGCACGGGTTGAAACAACTTACAGTTAAACCGTCCGGTGCCCGCAATCCCAGTGTGGCAATTAGATAACTGAGATTTGCCTTCAGAACAGCAGACTCGTCCACCTCGAGTTCTGACTGAAGCGCATGTTGACCACGGGCGTCGAATCGTTCACGTACAAGCTGAACGAACGGCATTGCTTTTTTTGCCATCTTACCCATCTCCTTAAGATGAGGACGCATCTGCTGAGCAATGGCAGCATTGTCGGCCAAAGTTTTACCATCCGCAGATAGACTGCCACGCAAGATTTCCAAAATTTTAGCCTTGGGGATGGATGCCAAGAGAAAATGTAAGTCGATTTGAGGTAATTTAGGCTTTAAGTTGAGTTTCAGTTTGTACAGCCGTTAAACATGCACCTACGTGCGCTGGCTGTGGTTGTATTTTGGCTGCTCATTTGGATGAACCAGTAAGAGAAAAACCGGAAAACTGAAGTAGAGTCAAAGAGAAAATGGAGAATATCAGTGGTCTTAGGTTGTACAGAAATTGAGATGCACGAACGCCACTGTTTACGACACAGCCGTATCTCTGTATCACTAACCATCAATTCAAGTGATCCCGATGTCCCCTCCAGGAAGTCTAACGCGGTCTATGTGGGCAAGTCTCCTAGTTGAGATTTTCACACTCTCGTGCCAGGGCTTATTTTGACCACTCTTGGATTTTTCCCACCGACTACCAGCCTCGGCAAACATCGCTCGCCGTGGCATCCTATCTGGTGACATGCGTAACAACTAACCAACGTAATCTTCGGAGGTCGATCACTTGCTCTAGTCACCGACCGTTGTAGTCTAAATCTCTGCGCCTAACCTCAGCATTCCTTGTTCAGGAGCCCCAGCAGGTTCGTGCAATGCTGTGTAGACAGCGGTGTTCACACATCGACAGTTTATCTTCATCTTGTGTTCCTAATGACCAAGTTTCTGCGCTGTATACCAGAAATGACCGAACTCCTGCAGCATACACTCGATATTTAGGGTTCACCAGATTAAAAGCACAAAGCGCACCTTGGACAAAAAGCCAGAACTGTTAGGGTACATCAGTAATTAAAAATACGGCCCAAACCAATTAGTAGCCTGGTAGTTAAGCGACTGTGCAGGGGCTGCTGCAAAGGACTCATCTAGTACACTTAAAGGTCGTATCCAAGTGGATGGGATACAGAAGAACCGGTAAATTGAAGTTTTAAAGAGGCAACTTACGCAGAGTTCAAAAAAAACAACGACGGCATGGAGTTTGAGTATGTAAGTCAGTATGAACAACCAAACTTCCACAAACTAAGACATGAAGCAACTTCAAACAAATATTTTTGTTTCATTGTCGGCTGGGTTGTAGGTGGGGATTTTTTTAGTTAAGGAAGAAGGGGTTAATCCTCAAGGTTTGTTTTGTACGTCGAAAGCAGCTTTGATTATTTTATTGGCTTTCGGAATCGATTCGTGAATGTATAAAAATATGCATGCAATCAATACAGCCCCGGGCAAGAAGCCGATCACCGGAGGTTTTAAAAAGAAGCAGTGGTTGTGTTAAAAACACCATGTATGTAATAAATAACAGTTAGCTTAAAATGAAGTGGCTGAGTCGCTGTCATTCCAAATGAATGGATCTGGCATTATTAATAAAAGAATGCAAGTTTCAACATCGTTTACATCGTGGGCTCACCTGCCAAGGAGGATATGATTTCACAACCCATACAGTGGCTTCAGAAGGAGCAATACTCTGCGCAGTTCCACCTGTCTTCGAAGCTTTGAAAGACTTGGATGATTGGCGTGCCAAAAGCTGAAGGCGGAACTGATGAGCGGCATCATCCACATAACGACCTGTGTGAAGAGCAAAATTTGTCAAAACCCAGTTCAGTGTGTATGACGTTACGCTTCTATGCACTGGTTTTAATTTTTCCGTATCAGTTACCCATTTGGTCAAGTGATAAAAGAAATAAAAAGTTGAAAATGATGCTAAAATAGGGAACAGAATACCGCTAAGAACGATCTACGTTAAGAATAAATGCATGAGTCATGCTGTCCACCGTACTCTTATGTCACCTAGTGTCTATACGCACCGATAAGGCGGACTGTGAGAGGCAGAACGGGGAAGCCTAATGCGACTGGGTTTTAGGCTAACGAAGTATGGTCTTCTTTCACACAGTAACTATTGCGCCTCTGTAATATAACCCCTGTTTGCTGAATACTGACATCAATATTAGAGTAGAAACTCAAACAATAACGTGTTGAAACGGGGAAAAAGAATTTTGACTTACCCTGCAGTGTCAGTACATCGTCTACCGGTCGCGACAGTTCAGGCCACGTAGAACAAAACACAGAGGTCTTATTACCGAGTAAATTGACCCAAATGTGCTCGCAGACATGAGAACAAATTGGACTGAGCAGTATGGTTTGAACTTGAATGTAGCGAAACAGAAGTTCACGATGCATTGAGCCTTGGCTTACTTCACGATATCGATCACGAGCAGCCTGTGACAAGAGAATTAAACTAAGCGTTCGGAGAGATGAATCAGAACACATTGAAAAACGCACGAAGATCTACAAGCCACAAAGCTCAAATGGAGTTTCTTTGATTTTTAGGAGTTCTCATTACTATCTAAGTCAACCGTTTGCTTTCCAGTAGGACAGTCGCCGCGTGACAAAAGCAGGTTATTGTATGTAGGGTTGAATCGGCATGAGTATGAAATGTCTACCTACTAAAAAAATCATTTATTATACCAAAGAGACACATGGGGACAGAAACGCAGGACGACTCACTCTAAAACGCCTTTTGACATCACACCATTAATTACTCCCTTTGAGTGGGCTTTGACAATACCAAGCACGGCCAAACCGCGAACGTAAAAAAGACCCAGAAACTAGGGCAATGAGGCTATTCAGCAGCGCTTGGGATATGAGGTAACCCAAATGACCAGAAATATTGCAACTTAGTAAAGTCACTCTATCACAGTCTATTTGCTCCGAATTAAGTAAACAAAAAAGATCACAACCCATAAAAACTAAATGATCGCGAAAGTTTCAGGATGATAACCATTAGGGAAACTAAACTGACTGTATCCTAAAGACGCAATTGTAGAGAAGTTCAAAAACACCACAAAACCAAGCTCATTTGGGTAAAATGTTAACCCTCCTAAATGCCTCAATTATTGATACTCTATTCAGTGGTTTGTGTTCTTCATCAGTCAAAAAACTAACCGGATCATCTACGCTCGAAACAAGTACTGGGATTCTGATCCGAACAAATGTATTTGGTTTGGCACTTTTATTTATGTACACATAGTTTAAATTTGTGCAAGGATGCTGTTGCCGGGTCACACGGGAGCATCGAGTCCAATCAACTTAAAATGTGGGGAAAAAGAATTAATCAAGAACATTTCAAACTAAGGCTAAGGAAATACGTGCGGACGTACCTGAAACTCGTAGAATACAGTCTTTAAGACCTCTTTGAATTCATTATTGGAGTAAAACTTGTCAGCTAATTGAATTGTCCGGTTGATATCGCTGAAAGTTTAAACCATTTAGAAAAATCAATTAGATGCACCAATTGAGCAACTAAAACCACGACACAGTTTCACAAGGATTGTGTTAGGCAAGGATCGATGCCCGGAGGCAATCGCTCCAGAATTAGTTCACTTTAAACGTGCAGCTTGGAACCCCATGTGACCATTCAGTTTCAAAAACCAGGCCGGCCTTTGACGAACACCAACCATTTTAATAATAAACTGGTCTAATACGTGACGTTTCGACTGGGTTTAAAAATTACAGTCCAGACACAAACTGGGCGTTATTCGGGAGGCACAGTAAATGTACATTACTCTAGTTTCACCGGTTTTGTTGTGCACTGCAAACACAATCCAACACGAACGCTATCGACTGTAAGGTGCTCGTTCATCACTGCCTTATAGCGCTTAAAAGAAGATGGAGTCAAAACGTGCCACGAATCTGTGGTGAACGTAGAAAGCAAACTGGTCTGTGAAAGAACCTTCGATTCTTATATTGAAAATCACTTAAACCATACCGTGTTTTTTCTGCTCAGTCTGAGAAAGATGACAGCATGATACAGCAAACAGAAACAATATCCGGATTAGCAGAAACATACTTTTCAAAAATAAGGTCTGCGTGCAAGGTATAAGGGCCAGTCCGGTATGACTGAGAGCCATCGCGTAAGCTTTCCACGGTTTGTGATATCCAATCCAGGAGTCCGTAAAGACGCAACAATCCAGCCTCGGCCATATCTTCCTTCATATTTGCGTCATCTAATGAGTCCCCGGCATCCGCTAAAGCCAAGCGAGTGCCTGGAGTTGTGGGATTTAAAAGAATTGGTGGTATGTGAAGGACTTTCGACAGTGGAACACATTGTCCTATTAATGAGATCTCGTTTCTTTCTACTTGCAAGACACAATGCCATCTCCTAAAGGTTGCAAACATTCCATGAAAATGTTTGGAGATGAACCAAAAACCGCCCGATTCCCTTGGGAGATAGGTGAGTGCCACCCACGATAGAGGAGGGGGTCATGGACCTCAGGCTGAGTCTAGAACAGTCACATCATCAATCGGTTCCAGAGGGGTCGCATCAGATAGTGGTGCATCATGTACCTGAGTATGACCTGTGATTGGCAAGTTTCAATTTGATAAGTAAATCTTGTCTCGTGTCCGAAATTAATTAATCGTACCAAATGTAATGCCGTTTGAACAACCAAAAAACTTCCCAATAGCGAAACGCACCATCAGCAGAGTACTTTTCGACTGAATCCGACAGGGTGAGGAAGTTACCAGTCGACTTGGCCATCTGAACAGAGAAAGACAAGAACAGCAAAAATGGAATTGAAGCGGATGTTTTGGTTTCGATGTTGGTCGAGGGGACCATCAAGTATAATTACGGGTAAGATAGTCTCACCTCAACCAGATTCTTCAGGAGGCCCAGTGAGTACGGATAGAACAGAAATCGTACCAGTCAGAAAAATCTTAAAACGTTTGCTCCAAATTTTGAACTTTAAACAACTCGTCTCTGAGCGGCTTGAGGACAAACACGGTGACAATACAAAAACAATGACAACATAAATTGGAGGAATGGGTAAATATAATTGAAACGAAAATGGGGAAAACAGATAATGTGGTAATTTAGTAAGTATCACTGATCACATTGGATGTTAGATGTTTATTATATGGGGAGAGGGATTTCAATAAACTAACCCCATAACCGGCTCTGAGGAGAAGCAATTCTCATACCTTGGGCATCATCATCATCGTACAGCGAAAAAGAGTGAGGCAAACTTCACTCACCGCTGACAAGCTCGCAATGCATATAAGGTTAGTGGTAAAATTTAAGATGGACAGGGTTTGGACCAACTTTGAGGGAGGGAGAGGAAGAACCACTATGGTCAACACATGGAGCGCACAATCCAACAGTGCACACACACAAACACAAGACAGGCCGTCGTGTTCGAACCTGCCCGGTATTTACGTGTGCTTTCGCGCTTTGCGATATCGTGCACGTCGTCTGTGGGTGTCCAATTCGTGTTCCCGTCCATTTGTATTTTGTATTTGTATTTGTTTAAATTGTGCAAGCATATATGCTTACATTTCAGTTAAAAATGTAAACTGTTCGTCACGCAGAGTGAAATAATAATATTAAAAAGGAAAGGTAAAGAATGTCGATGATATACGTTTCATGTACAAAACTTTTGACGTAGTTTATTTGAGACCTGTTCCTTTTTAGTAAGTAGTCGAGCCAAGTAGGGTACAGGGGAATTTTTATAAATATCAATCCGAGAGGGTAGCTGTTGAAATGAGGAGCGCGTGGACGGATGGAAACGACAAGATGATAGATCAGGGTGTAGTGGATGAAGAGAAAATTTGAATCTAGAGTTGATGTGACCATCAATGAGTTTCGTCATTAATCAATCGATTGGGATTATTGATGCACGACTGATTACCACCAAACCAGAGAATCAGTAGTGCCATTACCATTGTGTTTTGCTGTGATGCATCGATTCCGTTTTCGGGCACAGTCTCACACCGTCCTGTGCTACTGTGTCAGTGTGTGCTATCCTTGTTGTCTGTTACTTGTGTGTGGGCTTCAGTTACCCCGAGGTGCCGAAATCAGAACCCACTTCCTGAACACCATTGAACAAGACCTAAACGCGAACTTGCGGACCTTGACCGCCGAGTACCAAAGGATCTTGGAACTCAAGCATGACTATGCTCTCGTCCGAAATTCCGAGCACCCTGCCAGAAACGTGAACACTGTGTCTCTCAGTAAGTCCCCAGGTCCATCGAGATCACACTACTCCAGCGCCGACAACAAACGCAAACCACCCACACCGGGCTATTTTTGTGGCATTTCCTGGCATTACCACAAAGTCTGCGCATTCCAACACCGTTGTCACAAAATGGGCCACAAAGAAGGTTTCGCCCAACGATCCCCAAGTCGCCGATGAAGCTCGCGTTTNAAGCCGCTACGTCCTCGTCTCTCGCACACTCACACCTGCAGTCAACTTGCCACATTCAAAGTAGAAACAGTCTCCCACCGTCGATGTGTCTGTGCATATTAAAGCTCATCTGTCCCGTCTGCAAATCAACATCGCGTCGGGCATAACCATCTCGCGTCGTCTATGGCAGGCTTTGGGCCGCCCTACACTCCACCCGACAAAGAAACCGCCACCAGTGTCTGTGGTGGATCTGTGAAACTACTCGGTAGAGTAGTCTGATATATTCATGGGGCATTTATAGACCACCAAACTTGAGTCCATACATAAAACTCAGCTATACACCCGATATGTTGATGACACATCCGTAGCTGTTGACAGTGTTGATCAAGCAAATCAACTGTGGAGGACATGAACAGCTGCCACAAGGATCTTGAGTTTACAATCCAGCACGGATCAGAAGACACTTTTCAATTCTTTGATGTACACTTAGAGAGCAGAGAAAATGGTACCCTGAACCGCTCCGTTTTTCATAAGCCGACATCGACCGATCAGTATTTGAATTTCGAAAGTTACTGTCCTATAAATTACAACCGTACCCTTGTTCGTACTCTATTCACACGAGCTCGTCGAAATTGTTCAGAAGAGTTCTTGAACAGTAACCTTCTTTCAATTCAAGCGACTCTACTCGGAAATGGATACCCTTTGAAGTTCATCAAAAGGTACGCGGAGGACACAACAGTTAAGCAGAAAATACCCAATGCCTCTTAAAGAAAGTTTACTTAATTATCCCGTTCAAGGCTCTACTGTTCGCCACATATTAAACTGCAACTTCTGTATGGAGTCCAGCAAGTCTTTTAGGATCATAAGTAGACAAAAACACCATCGTCTACTTCAGTTGGCTGAAGCCTCCGCCATTCGAGGGCTTAGACCCAATTTGTGTAAACAATTAAACTTTGTGGCCAGTCTTGCCCTGCTCTGGTAGGACTGAACCCCGTCAAGTGTTCACTCGCCGTGGTTGACTATGTGACCTTTGCCGCTGTCCTGTGATTGGCCTAATTGATGTGTCCATTTGTTCGATTACCTATTATGTCTTTGTTACTGTTTAACCTTGATTATCATTGTACGTATGCAGCTGACTGAGAGTACCCGAAATAACTGAAAACATGTTATCCTGCTGAAATGTGGTTCTTCCCCGCCGTGATGAAAAGAGTAGTCTCTAATGTGAAGTTCAACGACAAATCGACCGACGCAGACTGTTATTTGGCTCAAACCCACCTCAACTTGATTGGCATCGATTGACTTGGACCATTGGGGATATTGGACGGGCCCATCAACTCCGTGTGCAACCGTGGGTTGTTCGATGCGGAGAGCAATGAACTGTGGCGCCACATTAACACATATTTCGAAGTGGTCCTTGATCTCCGTAATTGCGCCCAAGAGTCATTGCAACTACTACCGAATACAACCCTTGTTTTCCGATCCAAACGTCCAGTACCATACGCTGCTTTACCCCTAGTCGAACAGGAACTTCAGTGTTAGGAGAAATCGGGTACCGTGGTTCCGGTCACATTTTCCAAATGGGCAGCTCCCATCGCTGTCGCGAAAAAATCAGATGGCACGATACGCATCAGTGCGGATTTATCAACTGGGTTGAACACCGCACTACAGACAGACTGCTATCCACTACCCACACAAGAGGACATGTTCACCATTCTCTCAGACGGCGGATATTTTTCCAAAATTGACTTGGCCGATCGAACTCAACGCTGAATACAGGGAACTGCTCACGATCAGTACGCACCGAAGTCTCTACCAATACACGAGACTTCCATTTGGCATGAAAACGGCACCGGCAATATTCCAGAAGATCATGAACTCAATGATCACCGGTCTGCCAGGCAGGGCTGCTATCTTGACGATATCGTCGTCATCGGACAATTACCGGAGCAATCGAAAGAACACCTAGAAGCGTTCCTTAAGCATATACAGTCCGCCGGATTCAATCTGCGCTCCGAAAAGTGCGTTTTTCTTGCGGCCTTGTATGCAACCCTCCCATTGGTGGCTTACCGCGATGTGGTCGGTGTGCATTAGCCGCTGACTTGAGGAGGGTGAAAGCCAAGTGACATACCAGAAGTTGGATCGTCTGAAGTTCCAGAAATAGGCGGCTGTGGGGAAAATAGAGCCTACAGCCGCTCCTCGTTTTTCAATCGACAGGAATATAGTTCGAAGGGACTACATATGTGCACATCGTTAGGAGACAACCTACCTACTCCAGCAGTGATATCTCGTGCTAACATCACAATATCAGCCCAACACGCTGAGTGCAAGAGGTCTCGTAGTTTTTGGAAGAAAAAAGCTTTCATTGTATCCGGGATGCAGTTTGTAGAATCTACTCTGAAACGCCAAACAGGTTGCGTCTTTAGGAGAGATAACAGTTTACTTCGCACGAGCCTCTAAGTCTCAGTGTGCACAATCGACTGTCGACTGGAATCCAGTTTATGACCACAGCTCTCTCAATGAAAGCCATGCCGACACCAGCAAAACCAGAAACCGCAGTTTGTGTCTTTAGAAAGGCGTAAGTAAAACTTCACAGATTAGTTTGATGGGGGCGTCAATCGGATGTTTCAACTGGAATCTAAATGCGAATCTCCTGGACACAACACACCGTTGGCTTGGGGTCTCAAGGGTATGACCTTAACACAGCTGTTGTTCTTTACGCATCGAAGTACGCAAGTTGAATGTGTCTAGTTTGAAGGGGCATCAAGGACGAAGAAGAGCTTCAACTGATGGAGAAGGATTCGGTGAAACTTGGATGCTAGTTCATGCAGGACATGTGAGCTTAGGGGCATGATTCACATCTGAAGCACTACTTTAAGAACGTTGCTCTGAGGACTCCATGGAACTGAAAATGTGAAACAAGGTGTATACGGCGTACAACGTTTTTGTTTAACTGAGGAAAGTTGAGACTGCTGATTTGTTG